ATATATAATTTAGGCGACATATTACAAATATTGTTATTATCATAATACATATATATACATTATTCAAGTACATAGCATTATATGCATTTAAATTTCATATACAACACTTGTTACTGAGAAGGTTGGGATTTGGCAACAGTTTACTTTTGAAAGTTTATATCACTAAGAATGTGTTACTGAACTAGTGATAGAGTGATCACACTATTAATATTCGAATAACAACAATATTACGTTACTGAACTTGCGTTAAAAATATCGTGTATATGTATATAAAAAGAGGTAAGGTTTCAATAATAGTACGGACACAAACATATAGTGAAACAAAGAAAACTTCGAATTACAATATTACATAATTATGTTATACACACATTCATTGCAAAATGGGTTCATTTTAATTACATATACAAGGCTATATGTATATAATAATTTAAGTCAAAAGAAGTTATCAAGGTTAATTGATTACTATGAGAACAAGACACTTCTTCTTTTAAGGTAAGCGGTTATAAGAAATATTGCATGTTTTCTAGGATAGTTTGAAACAATATGAGATAGTCTCTGATTCATGTCCATGAGAGGATCGTTAACGAAATCAAAAAGAGTTCTGAACGGATTCTCACGCAAGTCTTTATACTGTTCACACTGAAAAAGGAAGTGTGTCTCGTCTTCTACACGATTCGAGGTACAAAGTCTACATAATCTCTGATCAGGCTGTTCTCCAATGTAACGCCCTGTTTCAATTCTTAACGGTAAAATGACACAGTATCGATCTTTCGTTCTTGTTCAAGTTCAACAATATATAGTCTTCGCATTTAAAGCTTTTTTTAAATATTCGGTAAGTTCTTAGTTTTGGCACTGTTTAGACATCTTCTGACCAAATATTGGTATAATTTGTCACTATCAAACCGTTAGCATGTGATAAGTTAATAACTGTTCTATTGTCGTAATTTGAGTCTAATCCAAGTGTGGTCATAACATGTTTTATGTGGGAAGACCAGACTTTCTTTGTAATTCTCGAATCGTCCATTAATGTAAAACTATTCCACAGTCGCAGAATATTTCCCCATCGACTGTGAACACTAGGTATCCACCCACTGTCACCAACCATCGCGAGAAAAGGCGTGAAGCGATGGACACCAAGGAAGTACCACATGGCTCTGTTTTGGACATTGTCTGTTGCTTGATATTTTTTAAAACCCCATACTGATGAGCAATAGTCCAGTATAGGCACAACATAGGAGAGATACAATTTTTCGTATGACTTAAAGCCAAAATCTTTCAGGTTGTGTATCTTGTTAATGATGCCACTGAGAGCTCGACCAGCTGCTTTACCAAGAGATTCACTGTGTAAAGTAAAGTCATTCTTCTCATGGAATATAACCCCTAGGTATTTGTATTTTTCAACTGTTTCCAGAGTACTGTTGCCGATTTTGAATTCAAAGTCACTTCGTTGTGCCCGACCCTTGCGAAAATGCATGCATTTAGATTTATCTGCATTGATAAGTACTCTCCAGCGTTGGCACCAGTTACTAACAGTGTCTAACATGGACTGTAATTTCTCCTCACTATCCGCCAATATACGTACATTAACAAGGATAGTTTAATATCACCAACCGTTACACCAAGGTCAAGGTCGTTGATTTCACGTGCAAGATCGTTAGCGAATACGGAGAACAATGTCGGGGACAAATTACAGCCTTGTTTTACGCCTGACAAACAGCTGAACCAGTCTGTAAGCTTGTTATTTATACGTATGCACGACACTGAGCTTGCGTATATATTCTTAATCCGTCTTGCCGTCTATGTTATTTATCAACAGTTTGTATAGTAGCATGTATCTATCTATGTAATCAAAACATTTTTAAGATCAATATAGGCTGTGAACACTCATTTATTGTTCCGTATAACACTGTTTAGCGTAAACACGTGGTCTTCACATGACCGTTGCTTCCTGAATCCGTTTTACTCGTCTGCGAGGATGTCGTTATTTTCCAATAAGCTGTAAGACGTTTGTTCAAGAAAGATGTGTACAGTTTGCTAATACAACACAACAGACTGATCCCGCGGTAGTGCATTGGAACACGCTTATCAGAATTTGGGTCTTTCAGTATTGGGCAAATAACTGCCTTTCGCCACACAGAGGGTATTATACTGCAGTCAAAAATTAGTTGAAATAGATATTAAATTGTCTCTATAACAGCAGGAGTTTTCAGTACATCATAAGGGATCTCGTCGATTCCACATGCTGATCCATTTTTCGCCTTTTGCACTTTACACATTATTTTCTGTGGTGTAATATTGTAAGTGTTTGACTCGAATAATGGATCACTCATCGAGCAACAATTTGTGAACTTTCACAGAAACTGATATTGTGGATAGTTAGATTAAAACAAGTCTGAGTTATTCATTTGACATGTTCTTTAACGTTTCCAGAGTTCACTGTGACAACGATTGTGAATTCTTAACGCTCTAATCTGACCCACGTGGGTCAAGTTAAGAAATCTCCATTTTATTCATTATAAGGAAAAAAGTTTTGTTCCTGTGGCTGCCTTGTGTACACATTTTGAGGATATTTATAGAATAATGAATGAAAAAACTTTGCATATGTCTCCGTTTAATTATCAATCAAGGCGTCGCTGGTTCGAACCTCGGGCAACTTCTTCATTACAAGTATTGTCAGACATTGATTATAAAGTTTATTAGCGTATTCTCGCTGATTCATAAATTAGGTGAGATTAGTAGTCGATCAATAGCGAAGCAATTGGTAATTACTTGTTAGTTATTCAGGCAAGCTGGTTGAATAGATCGTCCGCTGAGATATGAATATCTAATTGTTTTAAAGAATAAGAATAGTAAGTATGTGTAGTAAATATGGGTTAAAGGAAAATTATCAAACGTATTAAAGAATTATTACAATTTGATAGACTACAAGAAACTTACCTTAAGCATATCCGTAAAGTTGTACAAATTCAGATTTTCTCAAATTCTTGGAATCTAGATTTTATTTTAAACACAAATCTATTTGATTCCCCGTTAGTAAGTGATATTAGCACAAACAACAAAATAAAGCAGCGGACTTTGACATTCTTCATTATAGTAGATTACAATGTTACATTATTTTGTATTCCTGCTTACATCCGTATTATTTCATACGCTATTCATTTTCTTGCAAAAAAACTAGTAGTTTATGTATAAACTTTAAAGGCTTAAGTAATTTTACGACAGTGTTTTCAGGTGTATTTAAAGAAATACTATTAGTTATAAAAAAATCGATAGACGTTGTGCACATTATAAACGGTGCTAAGCACAATTATATAACTCGGGCTGATAGTGTTTGTATTCATATAACAAGGTTTTAATTACGAAATTATTATTCTTATAATTATTATAATTACCGAAGCCTTTTCAATAAAGAATATATATATGTCATGGTTATACACTGCAATTCAAGGTTACACACACACGCAGTATTATAAATGAATATAAACCCTGATATACGACTTTCTCAAAGTATCGAAACTTTTAAATGCGCTAATAATCTTCAGTTTAAACATGAACTAGGCTTGTTAAATGTATCGTGTTTACATTTAGGTCATTATCTCAATCACATCACTTATCTTTATTGAAATGCTTTCAAAAAATTCATTTGCAATTGCCATTAAAACAAAACAATTGTTCAAAATTAACAATTAACAAAACAACACAGTGGATAATATAAGATACCGGATCTTGTTTGTGGACACTTATGCTTATGCATGCGAAATGTACAAAGGTAAAATTAAAGAATAGTTTGGGAATATTCAAATATAGTACTAGTAGCATATAGAGTTCTTGTTGTTGTTGTTGTTGTTCTAGATAATTATTGTTAGTATTATTATAATCATAATTATCATTTATTCATTTATTTATTTTTTTATTGTTGTTGTTGTTTTGTTTGGATTTTTTATGTTTGTCTAATTCATTTTCTGCTTTTTTATGAAATACATAATAAAAAACACAATTTAAGACATATAAGTCTTGTTGTTGTTGTTTGAGTTTGTTTTGTGTGTGTGTGTTTTTTGTGTTTGTTTTTTGTTTTTTGGACGAGAGGGGTTGTGTTGTTGTTTGTTTTTCATTCTTTGTTGGGTTTTTTTATCTAGTACCCACAATAAGGGTTTTAATACATTAATATCAGGCACTGTCTATTCAGAAGATTGTAGATATTTAAATTTAATTGTCTGAGCTACTTACAACAGGAGAATTCTATGTAATTCTTTGTCCGAAGAATGAGTAAAGATTTATGTCCTTTTCTTTAGACCTTTACAATGGGTATTATACATCTGTGTATAAATTTTTGCGTAATCATCGTAACAATTTTATGATTTTTACAGAACCAGACGTTTAATTAATTGTCATCAATGCTACAGACTAAAAGTCAAAACTTCATAGTGTCATTTAAATGTACAACAGCAAAAATTTAGATTTACTGTAAAAGTCGATATGATGTATTCAAACATTTATCACAAAAGTATAAAAAAAACACTCATATTTAAAGTATACTATCAAACATATTATTTTGTTTTTACTGTCAGTAAATGATAAAAGTGACAAAGGCTGTCAAAAATAAATCAAGCCAAACGATTGAACAATGTAAGTATATTGGAGTTCCAGCATTTCCATTGCCCTTTTTGTTCGACTTCTCTGTTGCTGGTTCTGTAGGTTCTAAAGGTTCGTTGCAATGAGGTTTCGTATGTGTTTCTGGTTGTGCACATTCTTGTTGTTTCTTAAGGTCATCATATGTTCCGAGCACAATCAAGGATACCGCTTCAAACTTTCTGGCATCTGCGAAGAATTAAAACATTATATTCTAATTTACTGATGAATGTCTGTTAACTTAATCAGTATAGCTAATTTGCTCAGATTTACTCGTATTCTAAAAACCAAATCGCCGTTAAAACATTAATGGCATTAAATGATAAGGTATGACGATTAAGCGTATAAATTATTTCTTTAGCTAAACTTGCCTATTTCTTGAGAAAGTTGACTCACAATTATCCATGTGCCAATAGGACATTCGCCCTAAAAGTGAACACTGGTTAGATTTCTATCAGACTGATCTGTACTGAATGTTGGGTCATCATTGTTATCAACAATGATTGAATGTGTCCCGCCTGGAGAAACTATTTTTAACATTAAAGATTGTTGAGTTATAATGTAGTAGTCCATAAATAAAATGACATGTTCTACTTTATGGACTTGTGGACCGCATCTATTTTCGTCCATCTTAAAAGATATTGTATACGTTATTGTTTCGCTGAAATGTAGGAAAGTCAAATAAGAAATACATTTTACTACAACAGAAATAGAATAAATATGAATAAAGTTTGCTAATACAACACAACAGACTGATCCCGCGGTAGTGCATTGGAACACGCTTATCAGAATTTGGGTCTTTCAGTATTGGGCAAATAACTGCCTTTCGCCACACAGAGGGTATTATACTGCAGTCAAAAATTAGTTGAAATAGATGGTAAATTGTCTCTATAACAGCAGGAGTTTTCAGTACATCATAAGGGATCTCATCGATTCCACATGCTGATCCACTTTTCGCCCTTTGCACTTTACACATTATTTTCTGTGGTGTAATATTGTAAGTGTTTGACTCGAATAATGGATCACTCATCGAGCAACAATTTGTGAACTTTCACAGAAACTGATTTTGTGGATAGTTAGATTAAAACAAGTCTGAGTTATTCATTTGACATGTTCTTTAACGTTTCCAGAGTTCACTGTGACAACGATTGTGAATTCTTAACGCTCTAATCTGACCCACGTGGGTCAAGTTAAGAAATCTCCATTTTATTCATTATAAGGAAAAAAGTTTAGTTCCTGTGGCTGCCTTGTGTACACATTTTGAGGATATTTATAGAATAATGAATGAAAAAACTTTGCATATGTCTCCGTTTAATTATCAATCAAGGCGTCGCTGGTTCGAACCTCGGGCAACTTCTTCATTACAAGTATTGTCAGACATTGATTATAAAGTTTATTAGCGTATTCTCGCTGATTCATAAATTAGGTGAGATTAGTAGCCGATCAATAGCGAAGCAATTGGTAATTACTTGTTAGTTATTCAGGCAAGCTGGTTTTGTTTGGATTTTTATGTTTTTCTAATTCATTTTCTGCTTTTTTATGAAATACATAATAAAAAACACAATTTAAGACATATAAGTCTTGTTGTTGTTGTTTGAGTTTGTTTTGTGTGTGTGTGTGTTTTTTGTGTTTGTTTTTTTTGTTTTTTGGACGAGAGGGGTTGTGTTGTTGTTTGTTTTTCATTCTTTGTTGGGTTTTTTATCTAGTACCCACAATAAGGGTTTTAATACATTAATATCAGGCACTGTCTATTCAGAAGATTGTAGATATTTAAATTTAATTGTCTGAGCTACTTACAACAGGAGAATTCTATGTAATTCTTTGTCCGAAGAATGAGTAAAGATTTATGTCCTTTTCTTTAGACCTTTACAATGGGTATTATACATCTGTGTATAAATTTTTGCGTAATCATCGTAACAAATTTATGATTTATACAGAACCAGACGTTTAATTAATTGTCATCAATGCTACAGACTAAAAGTCAAAACTTCATAGTGTCATTTAAATGTACAACAGCAAAAATTTAGATTTACTGTAAAAGTCGATATGATGTATTCAAACATTTATCACAAAAGTATAAAAAAAACACTCATATTTAAAGTATACTATCAAACATATTATTTTGTTTTTACTGTCAGTAAATGATAAAAGTAACAAAGGCTGTCAAAAATAAATCAAGCCAAACGATTGAACAATGTAAGTATATTGGAGTTCCAGCACTTCCATTGCCCTTTTTGTTCGACTTCTCTGTTGCTGGTTCTGTAGGTTCTAAAGGTTCGTTGCAATGAGGTAGAAATAGAATAAATATGAATAAAGTTTATTAACCAATCATTGGTCATGGTTCATGACATAGAATCGTAGATAAACATAAGGAATCAACCGAATAAACGATCAGAGAGAATGATAGAAAACTTTTAATGCTCAAAATTAAACTAACATGATGTCACGTTTTATCGGTGTTCCACTGTCACGATATCCATCCGTAGACATACATAACACCGGAATGTGGGGGCATCTATTTCTAGTTATTCATTTCAAGTTATATAATGGAAATGAGTTCTTAAAACACTTCCCTTGTTTATAAATAATAAAAGAATATCTGTTATGATTATCATAAAGCTCACTTATTCTAAAAAGATGAATTACTTTAACTGAAAACCAATTGTTTATCTATTTATTTTTGTCCATTTGTTTCATATTCCATACATATTAATATAAGCATTCATCTGCTATAATTTAATCAACATTCATTTACCATCTGTTCATTAATTCCTAAATGAAAGAAAAAGAAATACCACACACGAAAACACACTTTTCTACTTGAATGAAAGAACAAAAATATAGACAGGCAACAGAAACAAAACTCTTAATGTTGACAAACACTAAAACACGAACACGCAAAACGAAACATAGTGGTAAATGAACTAGTTTCATAAAATGTTTTAGATTTATGGTTCTGAATCATATATTTTAATGTGGTGTGTCATTAGTCTTATTTTTAAGAATAATTTACAGTTGAGTCCATTGTAATTTGTGTAAAATATGATCAACAAGATCAACAAGGAATGGCGGTGCTCAAAAATCGCAATCCCCACACGACCCAGCAGCAAGGACCAGCGGCAAGGAGACAACTTTGACATTTGCACCATAATAATTTTTTCAGTCAAACGTATCAAATTAAACTGTGAAATGTTTTTTTTTATATATATTCAGCAAATAATGATCAAACATTACAAATAAATTTTTCTCACCGAGGAAAAAAATATTTAGAATATCACAAGATACGCAATGATGAGCGATGGTAAATCGTGAAGCAAAATCAAAGATCAGTTCTTACAACTACGGAAGAACATTATAACAGGACGTCAATCGCTGAATCAAATAGGTTTTGTTATATTGAAGATTAGTTATCATACCTTAAGATCATTTATTTTTAAAAACCGTCTATTAATGAATAAAATATCATAAGGAAAAATTGGGTTAAAATTAACCTTAAACTATGTAAACTGAAAATTTTCCAATATATATTAATCTATTATTATATTCGCACACTGAATGTATAATAATCAGGTTTGATGGCTAAACCAACTTTTTCCATAGTAAGAAAACATTTGTAATATGAAATGTACATATTATAGGTAAATTTAAACTACATACCTATGATATTGTAAATTGTTGTGACGATTCCTGTATTTACTGACATCCCCAAGCCTGTGTAATGTGTTACTGTGCAAGTTTTCAACTAATGTCCAAGATTTGGAAAGGTTAACCATTTTACCAGCGTCAATTAATCCAAATCCGATTATAGGAATAACTAAGAATTGAAAATGAAGTACTTAGCAGTTTGTCTTTTTGAAATAATCATAATCATTTATTCATTTCACATTATGTGTCAACAACAATAAAAGAATACGTATACGTTATCTTGATTATTGTAAACTATTTAGATTGTTTTCAGTTGCTATGTTTTCTTTCTAAGAGTCTTACTGCCTATTTTAAATGTGTATGAATGAATATGTTTGTTTTATTCCTAAGAAATGTATAATTTTTAATATGGTAACAGCTTACATCAATTTTCAGTTAGTGTAGGAAATTTTTCATATGAAAAAATGATGAAATGCAATGATGCCGATAAATCTTAATATATTCAAACGGCAAAACGTCAATTCTTACATTCAATATAAATAAAAGAATGTTCGTACATAACTTTCCTGCTGCGTTTCTCTCAAACTTAATTGATTCTTCGAGCTCTTTTGAAGTTGATGATTCAACCAATAAATGCTGAACGTCTCGCATCGTAAGAACTGGCCTACGTACAAAAGATAGTTTAAAGACAGCTCCAAGCGGAATATGAAGGACACATGGCATAGAAAAAAAACATCGGGAAATGGGATATTGCTAAGAAGCAATGGAAACTAAATATAAGTAGTTGAATAGTCGTGGACTCGATGTTATTGAGTTTGTTCACGTAAATTTTACATCCTTACGCTCCTCAATTCTCAACACAAATAACAAGAATAAAGATCAACAAGGCAAAGGTAACGTTCACAGGACGCCGCCCCCGGACACACCCAAGTAGTGCACCCAGATGGCACCAAGCAAAAACCTGGAGTGGACACAAGGGCGAAAGGAGTGGGACATATAATGTGAAACAATATAAACAAAAACGGGCACATAAGGGAATTAAAGGGATAAGGGCTGTACGGGTGAAAAGGTGGGGGTGGGGGTTAAAAATGGAAGAGGGGGGGGAGAGAAAATGCCTACCGTCAACGACAATCCAACAAGACAGACATCACAAAACATGTAAACATCCAAAAACAAGTAACAATACAGACAAGATAAACACGTGAAGGAACACCGAGGGGTACCGCCTTGGAACGGTCAGTGGTAGTTAAACACCACTGGGGAGCTTAAACCGGTTTTAGGCGCGCCAAACCTCTCTCTTAGCCCCAATATGTTCCTGAATGACACGAAAATGTATGAAATGACCATTACCAAAGTACTCGATGCCTTAAAGGAAGGCAGAGCAAAAAGAAAATCACCTACAAGGGCCCGACGAAGCAAGGCAGAAGACGAACATTAAGACAATTGTAAAAACTTTTATATTGCAATAAACGGACACAACTGAATAAGGCATTACCAAAATGATGTTCAAATCAAATTGTTACGTCATCTTTTTATACAGCATTAAAGCAGCCACACCACAAAATAAAGCCCCCTTTCTTAATTAAATTAGTTTTAGGTTTGTTAATTGTTTTCTCCTTTATGGCACATGCATTATATGTTAGTTGGGGACTATACACCTCTTTTTATAATATGGTACTAATTTATTGGCTTAAATGATCTATGATTACATCTGTGGATACTCTAAACTCATTTTGTTTTCATTTTTCTTGTTGAAATGTTCAATTCTGCTCAAGCCGGTGTTTCGGGCTAGGGCGGTGCTTGCAGTTTTCAATATCGTCCATGAACCACCCTTGATAGACATGCGCCTGCAACATTTGTTAATTTGACGTTCTGCATACGATCTAAGGGTTGCGTTTCTCTAATAAAAGAATTAAGCTCACGCGAAAAAAACTCTTGCTGCAATACTATGAGAAATAAGAAAACAACCGAGGTTTTCATGTGAATTATATGATATCTCAAATTCAATTCCATTTAGCCGTGCCCGTTGTTTTCGCGTTTAGGGCACATGATTTTTTTTACTTGGGAACTATAAGCCGCTTTTAATGAAATGGCTCTAACATGTTATTTAAGGTTAGGTCAATGAAAACCGCTGCATGCTAAATTTGTTCAAATTCTTACACTTTCAATGTATAAATATTGAATACTGCTTATGTTGGTGCCAGGGGCAGTGTACGGTAGCTTGCACTCAGTTAAACCGAGCCTTCAACATTTTTAATATTTCATATTTGGCATTTTTAGTTATTTTGTTATTCACTATCATTCTTAACCAGGCAAAAATATTACAAAATTGTCTGTGGTAAATGAAAAAAAAGAAAGTACTTTACCTTGCTTGCAAAACAAGGGCAATAATAGCTGATAATTCTGCAACAGCAGCTGATCCTCCTTTAAATGATTTTATACATCTGTCGTTTAAAGTTGATGTCAGCTTAAAAAATTTCCTTGTGTGTTATAAATTTCGTTTAAGTTCAGTAATGCTTTGGAATACTAAGGCAGGTAAATTAGTCTACCTGTGTTGTTTAATATTGAAAAAGACTCTTTGAATCTAAATTCATGATTTTATTTGAGTTTTTATTAGCCACAACATGACACATAAGTCAGTTAGGGCCTTTAGCAGGATGTTCCATTCCTCACCTACTTTTGTAGGAAATTTTCGAACGAACGTTTTATATATATGTTATTAATAGCAATAATAGCAATTATGGAAATACCCAATGTGATCAATCTCTACTTACAATACCATAGGTGTAGATTCTATTTCCTTCCCCGAGGCCTGACGTCAATACGCTCGCACTAACTTGTGGACTCTTTGGTAGTTGTCCATTGAAACCGACATAATTAACAGTAATTGTATTTACACTGTTTGCCAATCCACTGCCAGAAATATTTTCTGAACCGTCCGGAACAACATATATTGATCCCAGTTTCCCACGACCCTGAAGATAAATGTTTTCGATCATTGTAATATATCATTATAAGATGTAGTGTCATTTATAGAAATGATAACCGTTTTTTTCTATGTCTACTTACAAGCATAAATATTGATATTATAATAATAATGATATCATTTAAAAATGTCAATTTGCTATTTGGTTCTTTAATTGTTAAGTTAACATGTTTATGTCATCTTTTAATGGGCATGTTAAGAATAACAAGGCATATGAAAATGATATATATTCATAACTCCTTCGTCAATAGCTTCACACATTGACAAGTCTAGTGGTTCAAACTTGTCTGTCGGGGACCAGCTATTGGAATAGATATGGATTCGTTGTGGCGCATGCGCAAGCCCAGCAGCAACAACATCCGAGGTGATGGAAATTCTAAATTGATGACTACTCCCTATGACTTCGAATACTTTCAAAGCTAGAAGGTAGAGGTTAAAACGGCATTAAAGGATAATCAGATGTCGAGGAAAGTCCTTAGACATAACGAAAAGGTTTATTTACATTTATGTGTTTTTATTGATATTAATCTTTACACCACCAATTCAGAGAAGCATGTAAATTCAAACATCTCGTAATCACGTGGTGAAACATGTTGGCAATATGGCGGCCAAGTGCTGAATTTTTTACCTTCGTAATAAGATTTTTATTTGTCCATCCTTGGCTTATCAACAGATTATATATAGTTTTATCAAGGTATGCTTCACTTTACTTCATTGCATGTTCGAAGAATAAATATGAGCGTGTCAGATTCCTGGCACGATTATTGGTTGACTTTCCCTACGGGTCTGTCTTTAGCGGTCACGTCATGTTATAGTATATAAACGGGTACGCTGAAAACCTTAAGTCAGAAAAATATCACAACAACGAGATGTAAAACGGGAATAAATTATACATCTTGAAAAAAGTGATACCCCAGAAAAACAGCAAAATTACATGAAAATTGCAAATGAAAACGAGCATCATCCCGAACTGTGTTTGACATTTTCCCTTTGCTACTTTCGTATACCGACTAAAAACTTACTAAACCAGGAAGTTAGTCATGTAAATTGCCTGAAAAAAGCCTTTCTGTATATAAACATATTGTCTGTTTCTTCTATCTATGTCTGTTTCAGAAAGGAGACATATGGTTCGGACAGCAGGAAAGGAAATAAGGCAAGATGCTACTGTGTCTATGAAGAAGTAACGCAGTTGGTTGAAATTGAGAGAGATAGAAGAAATGTGGAAGGAACTGGTTAACATGGACCAAAGCAGAAAGCTTCTAGACTTAGGGTATGATGTTCTTTCAACTGTAACCAACATGAGGTCCTGAAGTTTAACCGAGGATCCTTTTATCTAGATCCCTCAAGAATTTGATTTATCTGCCGTACATTTTTACATAAAAATCTTATAAATAAAGTATAATGTAACTCTATTTAAGTATTACTTCATTATCTAAATTATATTGTCTCAAAAGCTCAAATGCGTTATACAAAGGACATTTTTGTGAAAGAGCATTCAACATTCTAGCTTGCTCTTTATTCACTTCACTTATCATTTGTAGAGTTGCTCCGCATTTTCTTGGTATATACATAACAAAATAGATAATATTAGGTTTTAGTTTAGATTTTACTCGTTTATGAATTTAGTGAAGTATCCCCATGAAGACAAGAAACAATGAATTCTTATAAGTTTATGTTATTTCAGGGAAGAAAACACTTTTGAACAGTGGAACACATACGAACGACTTTTGCCTCGTACGCAATGCCATCACCACACATTCCATTTCCTCTCTCAGCAGCAATAACGCTTGTACACCTGTTTCCATGGCTTAAAAATAAATTTAAATTGAGAATCATTGCCCCCGTTTTAAATTTTATGATTCAAAAGCAATTTAATAGGATATTTACATATAATTTTAAAAGAATATAACTTCGATGCAGTCCTCCTACGACATTTTTACATGACTTCATGTAATGCTTAAATTATATATATATCCAGAATATACAAACTATCATAAAGTATTTAAGTGACATAATGCTCATTTCTTTTGCTGTCATGTTAAGCTAAATTGAGTTTATCTTTAAAAACAACAGGATTATAATGGGACCCAAAATAAAAAATAAAATAAAGTTATTTCGACTTTGCCTTGTGCATTCGCAAATTACATTTTGTCACTTTAGTATAAAAAAATTGTGTATCAACCATTCTGCATGGTAAACGCCAGAGCTTGTAAAATAATCAGAAGTTTTTACCTTTTAGAATCTCTTATTAGTAAGACAGAAACCCTTAGTCAATAAAAATAATTTTAAGAGATATTCCCTTGTTCATATCTGTTATATTTGTTATGGTCGTAATATTATAGAAGATAAAGGAAAATGGTATATTTTCTAATGAAATCTATCGACAGCAAGTTGATGCATCATTTGTCTATATTTCATGAAGACACAGGAGCCATTTGTTGAAAAATAAATTGAATTGTTTATCACTTTTTGAATACTTACTCAACAATGTAAAGTGATTCCGCTTGATAATTGTGAAAATACTCTGGTATTACATTCTGCGTGTTGTCAATGAAGTTTTTTGCAAGCACCATATTCTTTACACATGGCGGAAATGTAAAATTGTGTATTTAGATGCATGACATTTTATTGACTTATTTCAAGTTCACCTACCGGCCACCAAACCTATTCCTTCATTTAACAAACACTTTTACCAAATTAGTCTCAGAAAAATCACCATTAAATAGATATCATACATATTTCAAGTCATATTTGATAACATTATCTTGTTGCAATATGATACATGTATATATCTTTTGCGCTCAATTAGATTTTTTAAGGTTTGTTGAAGGTAATAACTAAAGAATATTTCGTTAGAAGAACATTAAAAAGATATTGTTATTGAAAATTATTCAAACATGTTCTTAAAAATAATATATTTACGATATTCCTTTTCAGATCAGTAAGGTTTGTGTTAACGCCGACATCAAGCACCGCTATATTGATTCCTTCACCAGTAACACCATTTGACCATGCTCTTTCGACGTTCATCCCAAAAGCAACATTTTTGTCATTGCCCTGTGACATAACGTTATATTATCAGAATATTTTGATTGACATATCTTTTATTGATATAATTATGTAACATTACTTCATATGTGTGTAATAGTGATGATAACTCAACGTAACATAAGCGTTCTTTCGTATTTGTAAATATATGAAAACAAAGATTGAACAGCATTAAATGATTGCAACGAAATCCTCCCTAAAGAAGCTTTTCTGCACAGAGGGAAGAGAGAGAGAGTCTTATTAACAGGTTCAACATTCAACAATGACATTATAGTTGCTGCTCACCTCTTTTGTAGTATCATAAGCTAATTCTGAATTGACATCATCACCAACAACATCTTCACCCCCTTCTCGTTTTTCATCAGCGAGGATCCAATTTTGTCCGATAGTTAATACTTTAGCTTGCTCGATCTCAACTATCTGATTTAGAAATGTCAGTGGTAGAAAATCATGCAGGTATTATAGTATAGCCAAAATTATATTTTACATGAGATTAAAGATATATTATGCTCATATGTGAGTAAAACATTTTAGCGGAGAAATGTATTGAAATATATTGAATTCTTACTGAATATGTCTTATTTGAAGAATCTACAAACTATATATTGGCGTCTGTATTCCCTATTACAGGTCAAGTAAAAATTGTCCTTTCTAAAAAAACTGCCAACTTTTTTAATGACACTATATACAATTTTCATATTGTCGCCTCCTCTAGTGTGAAGAGATTAAAACATATGTCGCTATTCGTTATCAGTTGAATAAGGAAGTATATTTAATGTATTTTATCTTACGTTATACTGGGATGTATGATATATTGCCTTTGTCTTTTTATTATATGGTTTAACATTACATTTTTCCTCTTGGTGCGTTTCCTTTTTATCAAATATGATATATTTTAATAAGATTTATGATTTATTTCATAAGAACAGATTTTTATTTATAGAACTTGAGAATGCTAAATGTTCATCAACATAATAATCCTTGTCAAATAACATAATGTCCAGTTTTAATAATTTACTTTGTCCAGTGTAACCGTTTGATTGTTTTTATTGCTTTAAACTTTACACGAATCTCACAGCCCTACAACAACAAAAATATCTAAACGGAAAATACATTTAAATTTATATGAACATTATCAATTAATGTTAATGATTGATATTTAATTTGAAATGCGAAATTATATTTTACTCTTCAGTTATCATATTTATTAACGAAAATGGCAATTAATTATCGGCGAAGCATTTTTGTATTTTATGCGAATCCCCAAGTAGAATATCTGCATATTCTAAATGGTAAACGACGCGTTGTTGTTCCTGAATTATACGTTTGCGATGACAACTTTAATTTCACCCAATAATTTTACCTGGACAATGAATAACAGTGTCAGGATCAGCCTTTTGAAATGAACTAAATGAAATTTTGATACAACAGCTAACGTTGGAAAGTCCATCGTTATTAAACGCAAACGCAAATTTAGTACATAGAAATGTGTCGCCTCTTCGCGCTGGTGAAATGGCGAAGTTCTTACTGTTGGATGTTTAACTGCACCCGGTAACTTGATGGATCCCTCCTGTAATGTAAACTAGAACAGTCAATACTTACTGCATCTGCAAGATCTCTCTTCACTTCTGTTAACACTTGTTCTGTCTTTTTTCGACTTTCAAAACCGTCATATTTAAAACTGAATACGTTTGGAGTTATCTGAAATTGATTTAAAGTGATAATACGGGCCAAAATGAACACAAACGTCAAGCCTTTCAATTACGGGTTGTGTTGTAAACATAAGTTAAAACGAAATTGTACTTGGAGGACTGTTAAAGAATATAGATACGGACGGATATAATTCCCCAAAATATTTAATGGTAGGAGGCTGAGTTCCCTAAAATTACAGAAATGTCACGTGATCTTATTTGAATTTGAAAAGAAACTGCTGCCCGTGAACTGCAGATTAGGTTATAAAATTACGAAGAGATGTGAGAGAACAAATATAAGAATGCTCAAAAAATCATTAATGCAAATTAACGAATTTCGATTCCTTCCAGACAATAGCTACAGACAAAGAACTATGTCCGCTGATTTTAGAAGTGCAACAATAAATCTATCGGCTCTTTACATTAATATTTTTTGAAGATGTTGATTTATATATGCCATTTGATTGTAAACTATATGTTAGAACATATTTTTTTATTAAAGCTTTTATCATTTTTATATTTATTTAATGCTATTGTTTTATGTACGGTGGGAACAGTCCTAAAGAATAAGATCAACGATCGGAAATGTTTCTTCAATCATTGTTAAATACAGTAACATACGAACAAAATGTGGTACCTTATCACAAAAAAATCAAATATACTGTTTAAAATCTAAGAATTATTTTATAACTGTCGATTAATTGTTTACTAGTGATTAGGTCGCCGTTTAAACGACACGCATTTTGTTTATCATTTTTAACAAACAATACGGTGATTTTAATATTATGTGGCAAGTAAAACATTAAATATGCTTTATCAAACTTTTAATTTCGATTAAAAAATTTTAAGTTTATGTATGTCAAGTTTAAGTTTTAATTTCTAGATTCAGTTTTATTTAACCGTGTGTCAAATTTGATTATATTTCGTTCAGCACATCAAACTGCTTATTTACGAACGTGTCTATCCTGTTCATTTTAGGTATTCAGATTACAACTTAAAAATATATTTTCCCTATTATAATAAAGCACTTCACCTGTTGACGCAAAGCTGTTTTTATCTAATATTCAAATATAAGTATTCTTCAAATTGTTTCAATTTATATTGATATTTATATTGTTCAAATCAAGTCAAAAATGTATATAAATTAAAACCATCGTTACTGTTTAAAGATAATATCTGCCTATGAAAAAATATGATTGTAGAACTAATAAAGAATCTGAAAAAACTTACCTTCAGCATATCCGTAAAGTTGTACACACTCAGACGTTTTTCGAATTCATGGAATCTAGATTTAATTTTAAATACAAATCTGTTTGATTCCCCATTAACTGACATGAACCCAAAGGAAAGAAAAAAACAAAAGTGTCTGACAATCTTCATTACAGTAGAATACGTATTGTGCTATCGTCTGTAATAACTCGTTATTTGTTTTTATTAGTATCCGACGACATATACAGCATTTAAGAATAAAAAGTTAAGTATCAATATTTATATACACTTACCAAATACAACATGATCCGGGGTGAAGAGATATGTTAAGTAAACAAACATGATATCATCTGTGCGCAAAAAAAGATAAAAATGATTAGATGATATTTGTATTTTTTTAACATGCGGTTTCTATGTTCAAGTTTTTAACTACAATAAATATATTCTATAAACTTTATTTAAGTCTATTATAGTACATATATACTGTTTTAACGCTTGGGTCAAAATTTGAATCTATAGACATTTAAAGACACACAAAGCCTCATTTTTTTCTGTGTCTGTATGTGCGTGTGCGTGCGTGTGTGTGTGCGTGCGTGCGTGCGTGCGTGCGTGCGTGTGTGTGTATGTGTGTGTGAAGAGCAAACATGATAAATAATGTTGAAGTAATAGATTTAGAGTATGTATGATGCTTACCATCTAAATAGCACGGACAGTTTGCAAAAGTGACGTTGAAAAAATGTTAGCAAAGTGGTATTTTACTTCCGTACAAAACACTTAATCAGTACAACTGTACTTATTATAAAACGCAAAAGAAGCAAAAGATAACTTTAAACCAATTTGTCAAGAAACAGTTATAGAACATCAAAGATACAGAGCTTTGGGGGAAAATATTATCAATTTCAGACTTAAAATCTACATTACCTTAAAGTTATCATGTAAATATTTATGATTTAAAAGACAACGAAACTGTTTGATATTAGTTATTTTCCAATTTTTATGAGCATATTTATGTCATGTACACTTTACAATTTCAAGAGGATTAAAGCAAATCGTATGATATAATAAACGTTGTGATTATTTCTTTATACCTTTTTTAACGCTGATGTCATATGTTATATAAATTTGATAGTAATAAATGTGTCAAAGATATAACAGTAAGCAAACTGTTAATAATATTTACACAGGATAACGTTTTAAACCTAAACATGTAAACATGAAAAGGTTTATAACATGTCTGAAACTCACGTAGATCAAACAAGACTACTGAATTGATCAGATATATAATCATATAAAACATTATTTTTTTATAGCCTTATCTGACGTCAGAGGATGACATTCACTAACTTTACAGGTCATGTTCTGACTTCCCGCGTGTACCAGGTGACTGGCGTTAGTTATTCTGTTTCATTCAGTGACCTCTTTCTCTCTCTCTCTCTTAGACTCTTACAGCCTTATTAAAACTAATTTATAACTGTGAAAATAAATTATGTATATTGTGTTTGAGAAGTCTCTCTTTAATGAGTTTTGTTATTTTTTTTGTTATTAATATAAAAATATCATTTTTGAACAGACAGCCCGACCAGTTGCTGTTTACCTCAGCATCTTGTCATAAATAAAGCTGTAACGCGTTACACTCGATTGGTTTTATTTTGTTTTGAAGGCACAAAGGGTAAATAATCTATCATCTTTATTTTGATATCCTTTTTTAATAAACAATTTAAAGTGATTAAACACCTGCCGTCATTTGAATTTTAAGTTTCCTTAAAACTGAAAACACTTTGCTAATTAATTTTGGACAAATTAAACTAATATTTACTGTAACTTACCTGCTGGGAATAAAAGTCATAACCTTAATACTGTTGGTACCTCTTTTTTGCATTGTGATATTAAAGTTTCCTAAACTTGATAAATTGTTCCAAAATTCAAAAGGGTAAGTCCATTGAAGGTAGTCAGCAGTAAAATATTGTGGAAGGATGTGATTTGAACGCAATGAATATCTGTAAAAGTATTAATAAGCTGACAAAATGTTTGAAAACTAATCACAGATCTAAATAAACCCCTCGCTTATTAACAAAAAAATACATATACATAATTTATTTTTATAATCATTCTGTTTAATATGTAACAAGCTGTATTTGTGTAATGGGTTTGCCCAGCTTTGGATTCTGATACATTTCATTCGAATTCTAAAAGCATAGGTCTCAGAAATGCTTAATTATTTTCATTTTTTAAAACATTTTTCCTTGCTTTTTGCGTGTCCAGTTTAATTGTAGAGTGTTACTTAGGCTTAATACTTATGTTACTATATAAAGTAACAGAATCTAGGGTATTTCAGAACCATTATGGCAAGATCAAGGTCATCTTGCAATTTTGGCAACCATGCTACTCGGTATTATTTTTCCATAATGTGCGAGTGAATGAGCGCACGTGCAGAATGACGGAATCAACTGTCAGTGACTTTTAATATGGCTGCTGACGTTGAATGAACTGTAGTCACTTGCACACAAAAAATAAAGTTTAAATGACATAATTAAACACAATCAGCAAAGCTTAACAGAAGATTTATAAATTCAAGACAATACATGACCCTTAGAAATTCTAAAAATGATTTCAGATTGACGGTAGAAAAAGGTCGGATCGTTCGCATTTAGGAGACATAGACATCAGTCTTAGAAACAGTTCTTAAAGACACAAAACTTCATAAAAACTGGCACTAGACCTAAATGTAGTTCTCACAAAAATGCAAAGAGTATGGGGTCTTTATTTATCGATAAAAACAAGACACCATTTTCTTATATTTATTTTGTGTTGTCTTGTTCTCTAAGTTAATCGGAGTGTTAAACTATATGACAGATATGTGTTTACATTGACAACTGTCTCAAGTTCATAATGTCCTTCGGGCCTGCGGCCGTCAGGCCATTATGCACATCTTCGGGCCATTATAGCATAATTGCGAGCAGCAACCAAGTATTAACGTCTTTAAAACCTATTTCCGAAATACGGTGTTTATACATCAGCGCTAATTATACTGAATTCGTGCTTTGTGAGGAAGATAAACACAACCTTGTTTACATTTCACCACTTTCATCACAAAATATTAATTATTTAGCGGTGTGTTCTTCACATGAAAAGCATCTCCATCGTGCTAAATCCATAACAACATTATAAAACACATATCCGCGTTCTACAGAAAGAATAAAAAACGTTTCAGATGCTTTATGTGCCTTTAAAGAAAATAAAAATACAAATATTTAGCTAAAAAAGTATAGAGCCTGTAATATTAATATTATCAGTGATTTTTAAAGGGGCGGGGGGGATAATGTGACGTTATCGTCATGGCATGATTATGTGTAAGAAGGGTCATTTACAAGGACATTTGTAAAAATAGTGAAGATTATTCATATTTACATGAATTATGAAAATTGAAATAATTTACTACATTTATTTTGTAATATTGACATGTTCAAATAATTATAAACAATTTTTATGAATGTTATAATAACATAATATTATCATGTCAATTCAACCTGAAACATTGCAAAACTCGTCATCATTATCACATCGTTAAATTAATGTACATATCCGCAATGCAACATATGTCTTGTTGTTTTCTATCGCATATATTGGTGTATTCCAGCGTCAGGCCTTGGTATTTCTGGTACAAACTGTTTAAGATTATCCTTTGTCACATTCTTCCAACATTCTTTACAACTGTCATTTTGTATTATTTTTTATTTTCAAGTTATATTCCAGATTTCTCCGCTCATCTGTTTTCGTGTATCCATCTTCTTGGCAAGTGTGCATGCTCCGTGTCGGGTAATAACTAATTGTACGGATCATAAGTTCCTACGAACCTCTTTATCACCGGGTCAGTGTTACTCACGGCCCATGTCCAGTATCGGGTCAAAAGGACCCTCTGCGCATGCCCCGGGTCAAATCCGATTCCAAGAGAGCAGCCACGCTTTGTTTACCCTCAGAATTTATCATTTCACCAGGTTTCTTAAGAAACTTAGGTACTAAGAACTTTCTGACATCATTTCTGCCGATTAAGTAAATTTTTCAATAGTTAATTTTGAAGGAAATTAGACCTACGAACTTTTATTAGATTTTCACACTTTGTCGTTTTCGTCGAGATCTGGCAGCATAGGAATTTAAGATACTGCTAAATAGTTAAATATTTGTTTTAAGTATTTCTCCAATTCTATTAATTGTTATCACTCCTTAAATAAATTTACTTGTTGAGAACCAAATATAGTTTGTTATTTACAGTTTTACTGGTCGGTTTTATCGATCGTGACGTGCGCTCACCCGCTGTCAGGGGAGATTCTTTAGTCAACCCGCTACCAGGGAGATATCAACGCCTGACTACGCCAAGAAATGATTAAATTTGTCAGCCCCTTTGATGAATATCTAAACTTAGTCTTTTCACCAGTCGTGCGCACTTTGCAATATGATAACTTCGTAAAATGATTTGTGAAATTTCACTGACGTTAAATTTGAATTTCTTATATAGATCAGCTTTGGTACTTACAACAGAAAAATACGCATGTGACAATTAATAAATAAACGAGGATTTTAAAACCGTATCTTGTCCGATTTGAGCTTTTTTTGTTGCAACGTATTTCAATTACAGGTAAATTACCCACTGTTCACAATTAGAATTTTTTTATGTATTCATTTTTTTGAGAGAAAAGCGAACGATCTGATCTGTAATTGTGTCCACATTTATTGGTCTAGACCTACATCAAATGGAGCATTAATCTCGACACAAAAAAAACATTTCTATTACCGCCATGTCAAAATACCTCAGTAGAGTCTCTTTAAGTTGACAAAAATAATCAAGTACTGTTTTCAGGATGATATTAAATCATTATTTCCATAATTTTACCTGATTTGGTTATCTTGAGTATTTCCTACTGTTGTTTTGTATCTTTGTAAAAACAATGACAATCTTGGGGAATCTTTCAGATTTAATGAATTAGTCGGATATATAAGTAATAATCAATTTGGTTTAGTAGATTGAAAGGAAAGACTCAACAGATATGTTTTTAAATTTTCCCCCATTATATTGCCAGAACTTGGCTTTTTCATATATGTTTTTGTGCTAGCATGACATTACTGAAAAAACAAAAATAAAGGATGAATGCCTTTGCCTCATCTCTACTTATTATCTTTCTAACGATTTAAAACCCAAGCAATAATAAAAAAAAATATCAGTTTATTCTTTTATG